ATAGGAACTTAAAAGAGAGAAAATTGAAAAAAGAGAGGTATGGAGTTTGATCCAAGATCCAATTTAATAAATCCAAACATCCTCTGTAAATAATTGTGGAGGGGAAAAAAACACACACAAAAAAAGAAAAGCACAATTGTCACAAACTTTGCTCATTCCAGACATACATTTTCCCATCCATTTTTTTCAAGAAAAATATCTATGATCTTCAAAAACTTGTCTGAATCTGTTTGTGGAATGTAACTTTTCTTCAAAAGAAACATTTCTTTCAGCCATTGCCATATGGTTTATGTTTTTTTTTTTTGTTTTTGTTTTTAAGTTCAGTCTGAAAAAAAGGTTGAATAAATATCTTAAAGATCTGTAAGGTAGAAATATAGTATTGGGATTTATTATTTTCTCAATTCTGGCCCCTTTTGGCCCTGTAGGTTCTTCAAGCATACATGCTGGTCCATTTGTCCCTTACTCTGAACGATATGTTGAACATCTACTGACAGAGTTTTCAACAAATTAACTTAGTGTTATTTGTATGGTGTAATAAACTTTAGACAGCATCTGCACAAAAACTTACAGATAACTGTCCCCAAGAATTTTACACCACAAAAGATCATTACAGAAAGAGGTGACCACTCACAGCAGGATACTGTACATAGTCGCACATGAATAGGAAGTTAAATGGAAGAGAAACATGTGAACAAGGGGCCGCAGCCTCTGGACTATAATAATAAAGCAACGTGATAACTGTGAACCAGAGACGTTGTTAGACACATCCTACTTTGGCTCCAGAGGAAAAATAATATATCTGTTAATCAGGTTCCCTAGCATCTGGGGGAAGAGTGGAAAGGTATACAATCCAGATTGCTTGAGGTCACAAGGTCAGAAGACAATGATTGACATCATTCAGAAAGACAGCGGGGCAAAAAGTTCACCGTCAGACGATCATTAATCCTTTGTAGCTGTTTTTTCTTATTTTGTTTCCATGCATTTTCAGTAAGGCAAGGCAAGGCAAGGCAAATTTATTTGTATAGCACAATTCAGTACAAAGACAATGCAAAGTGCTTTACATGATTAAAATACAGGAAGAAAAAACTAAATCAAAGCAAGTAGGAAAAAAAATAAAATAAAAAATAAAAAAATATAAAAAAATATGTGGGAAAAAAGTGAAATAAGATAAAAGGCTTGACCAAAGTTACCAGGCTCAGAAATAACGTGGTTTAAAGTAAAAAAGTACAAAGGCATACTTTTTAGTGGCTCAACATTTATGAATTTAAAGTCACTCTTATACTGGTTGTCGGTAATTTATAGGAGCCTAAATATTTCATTTTTATTAGCTGTAACGAATAAAAATCTAAATTATGGGACAAAGATTTTTTAAATGTATATTTGATGGACTTATTCTCTACAATTTGAGTTACTTGTTAATTTAAATGAAGGAGATAATGTTAAGTTTCAACTATTTTCTAATTAGATAAACATCTGTTGACCTTATGATGCGCAGTGTAGAGTGGAATGGGGCCCCATCTGAAATTCTGTCTAAGCCTTATTTTTGGATCGGCTCTCCAAACTCGAGGATTGTAATTTAAGTCGATTATATCTCCGTTCACACTCAGCTAAAATAATTAATCTTATCTGTACTTCACAACGAGAAATATTCCTGCAAAAATGACCATTTGTCTATTACGCGGCTGCGCGTTCTGGGAATCTCCCTTTGGAGTCAGTCACATTAGTGGTGGTGTGGGCAGATCCAGCATTTAAAACTTAAAACGTCAATCAGTCACCACGAGACAACCTCTGGAGGAGGTTTTTAAATATCATTTTTTTGTGATTACGTCGCTTCATTGTGTTATTTTATTAAAACTCATCTCACGTTCGTCACTCTTAAATACCTTGCGCCTGCGCGTAAAGAATTCGGGAGCTGTCCAAGTGCTGAATTGAAAGAAAGAAAGAAAAGCGGGGGAAAGGCGTTCCTGTCTCATTCTTTGAGAGCCATTCGAACCCAAAAACGTCTCTACTTCCCAGATATCAACATCCCCGGTAGAATATTTAGCCTTTTTAGAGTTCAGTCACCCTCCACCCCTCAAAAAGAAACTGCAAGTCGATGCGTCTTGGAGTTTACAGTATTTCGACGTCTGGTTTGTTTTTCCCATCTCCGGGAGGACTGATGTTTCCCTACACCTTATCAGTCAGATTTAGTAAATCTGACGTCTTGGTAAACTGAACTATGAAGTCTGGTTGGATTGAGGAATGTCTCCCCCGTTTCTGCGTGACCCGAGACAGCCCGAACGCCAACGACTTCGCCAGGAGGAGAGCGCCTCTGTCCCCATCTGGATTATGTGTTTGACTGATGTGAATCATATGGAAGAAATAGAATAGAAAGGTGAAGCACATGGGGAAACCACCGGGAATGAAACACTCCTTCATGAAGGGTTTAGCAGCTTTATTCACATACTTTATAGAGATGAGCAACTTCAGGTAAGAAATTAAATGATCGGAGTTCATTACAGTGTGTCTTTACAAAATTCCAGTGCGATTTTTATCAATAAGAAATATTCTTATCATGATAAAAAAAAAACAAAAAAACAAAAAAAAAAACACTTTAGGTGTTTCTATTTTTATTTTTCACACATTTTCTAACTAATTCAACTTAAATAATTGAAACGATAAACCATTAAATCATGAACGGGTGTCGTTTATATATTTAAATATATAAAAAATATATATGCAATCTGTTTTATGTAGTGTTTTTAAATATAAGAAGTTTCTTTCTAATTCTTGTAGGCATGTTTTTTTTTTTCTTGGATAAAATTGACCATTACGCACCTAAACCTGTTAATAACTGAACCATCGCTGCGAGATTCTTGCAGCTCCCACCCGCTCGCTGCTGCATCTCTGTGGGAATCTCGTGTTATGAACAGATTAGTCCTGATTTGGGAGGTAAATCGCATCTGATAGCTTAATAAACGCGCGCTTGTTTGTGTGAGCAGTTACACGTTTTCTGTGCGCGCCCCTGACTCCAAGGCAGCCGCTGGGCAACACAGACATGGTGTAACTGTCGCTTTCTGAGCTCTGAATTTTTTCTGATCCACTATCATATTTCCTCTCTTCACCATGTGTGCCTTCCAGAGTCGTGGACGCCAAGGAGTACGATTCTAGGTCCTCCACCAATATGTCTCCATCAGACTTTCTGGACTCGCTCATGGGTCGCACGTCCGGCTACGATGCAAGAATACGACCCAATTTCAAAGGTGTGTTCGCAGTCATAAGTGTCCACGTTTTTACACAGTTCACTTCTCACGTTTGAGAACTATAAATAGCAGCAAAAATGCCTTTGTAAGTGTAAACACGTCTAGTACTTTTACCCAGTTATGTGTTGGACCCTATCTGTTGCCAGGGAACTGCACATCAAGCAATTCAATGGCAACGATCAATTACTCCAATTAGCAGTGGGGACGTAGCTTAAACTTAATTAAAATCTTTAACATCTCACTGAATGCTGTTTTTTTCTATCTGAAAATCATCCCAAATTTAATATCTGCCTTTATTAAATGTAAGATATAAACCAGGAGCTGGAAATAGCACAGTAACTTGGAGATAAAACACTGGTTCTTACAAAAGACAGGGATACCACTATGATAGGCCAAAAGATTGATGGATCCCCAGTGGCTAGGCTGCAGACTATGCCGACCTCCTCTGTTGCTGTTGCTTTGATGCTGAGAACACACGCAGCTTCTGTCACTGTAATGGTTCTGAGTGTGAAAAGGCTTCCCTTATGGAGGCTAAGGCCCACTTTGAGCTCCTAGAGTCTCAGCTCACTTTTTTTCTTGGGGGGTTTTATGTCACACACAGACGCATAGTATAAAACCTAGGTGGAACTAAAATTACACAATCAAAAAACTGTTCTTTCAATCCAATCCCACTTAATACAACTCTGTCCATCAAGCTCCCCAACTAGAGTTTACCTATGCTTCATTCAATACCAGTATCAATGCAGTTGTTCTGTAAGTCTTTAGAGGATTATTAGAGAACCTTTCTGAAGAAACAGCATCTTGAAGAACATGATACGGCAGAGGAATGCTTAAAAAATTTAATGGACGCATCACAGTTCAGACCTATTTGACAATCTGTGTCAAGACGGAAAGAAAAGGTTGATATAACTGCATCAATTCTGATTGGGCATTAGTTATTATGTATAGGAAAATATGCTCCCAATAAAAGCAACTGTTTGTAGCAGATACAATGTGAAAAGGTATAGCAGATCGTTGTCTGGTGCAGAACATGTTTTTTAGGGAAAATAATTAGTCCTAACACATTGATTTTGCTTTTTTAATATTTGGATTGCTTTGATGCTAGATACAGCCGGGAAGTTAAAGCAGGAACCGTTCTGTATTCAGGATCTTCACATATTAAAGTAAAAAAAACGAAACAAAAAAATCTGCACTAACTGAGTGCACTATAAACAGTTAGTTTTTGCTCATGACCTGCTAGATGTACTTTGAAGAGTGTCGAACTGCATTTCTAAAGAACCTGACCTAGATTTTCCTGCTGTGTTCGTTGTGAGGAGTTGATGCCAGTTACCTTTTTTTTTTTTTGCTGTAAAATGTGGAAACTTGACAAAGAGAGGCAAATATTAATACAGGGGGCCATGAAATATTGATGAGGAAAACACAGGGAAAGGGCACTGGGAAGCGCTTACAACTTCCCTTATCATCCCACAGAAAAAGATTCACTGTGAATCTAAAGGCAAGTGTCACAAAGATATTTTAGTTTAGGCTGCTGAGAAAAAAAAAACTGCTGTACCCTGTGGAATATGCTCCTACCTGTTCCCCACTGCTAGAGCAAAGATAAAAATTTGATGGTTCAGATTTTAAGTATAACTTTTCACTATTAATATAGTTTTTTTTTTTTTTTACCAATAACAAATTCGTTATTATGTAAAAGCTAATTCATTCTTGGCTGTATTTGACATATACAGATTTCATTTGTCAGTGTTGTAAAAAAAAAAAAGAAAAAAAAGTGCACTTTTTTGAAAAAGAGAGAAAATGATTTATGGTTTTCAAATGTTGTTGTAAGTAAAATCCTCCAAAGTGTGGTGTGTGTTAATCAGTAGCCCCCTTTATATTGATACCACTGGATAAAATCTTTTCCATCCAATTATCTTCAGAGGTCAGAGGGAAATAGATTCAACCTATCTTACATAAGCTGACAGGCCTAGGAAGAAGCGTAGCAGCTATGAGATCTACAGTAACTTTTGAGGAGCTGCTCAGAAGGGAAAATATAACTGTATAAATGTTAAGTAAATTGGGCACTTAGCAAAGCTTGCACTAATCAAAGAGAGACAAGAAGAGAGTCAGAAAATTAGTAGAGATCCCTTTTAAAGTCTATTACAATCCATGAATGTGACATATCAAAAATTGGTTAGATGAGGACAACACTAAACTATGTGGCGTACAGGTAAAACACTACGTGGGATATGAAACTAACTTGGGATATCCTCGACTAACTTATATCCTCAGTGAAACATGGTAGTGGCAGGGTCATACTGTGGATCAATTTTATTCAGTTAGCATAATTTAGGGGGAGGAAGAATGGATAAAACAGGGCTGCAGGAGTAGAAAACATGTCAGACTGCAAAATAAATGAGAATGGGTTAGAGGTTAGGAATCTGTTACAAGAACATTCATGTACCAAATAATCTGACTGTGTTTTAGATGTAGATAAGACTTATCAGAAAGCATCGATTCAGAAGGACTAAATACAGAGGTACACTACACTGTAAAGGATCATTTTACAGTGAAAAATATAGAAAGACTAACAGGAAAACCATCTATCACTTTCCTTTTACTTCACAGGTAAGCACTTGTATTAGTCCATCGCATAAAGTTACAATGAAATACATTGATGTCTGTAGTTGTAATGTGACAAAATGTGATACAGAGTGTGAATACTGTGGTTAGGCACTGTGTTATAAGAACAGTTTATTTTTAATGTTTATGGAAATTTTGCTGATCAGATAATTCACCCATCAGCTGACACACCACTTTGTGTGTTTGCATGGCTTTGATTCTGTGTGCATGAATCCTCTTTTCAATGTGTTAACAGCAAATTACCCCGAAAGGATTACCTTCATTAGACATCATTACCAACATCATTAAGCCGATGTTCATAACCGATCATAATGTTTGATTTTAATTGCTCTTTTGAAACATTGAGCCAAAAAAGCTAATGTAATTTCACACCCAACATGCCACCATCCAGACAACATACAGTACACTGCTTGTTGTATTAACGCATGTTTGAATACACAGCAAAGCAGCAGCCCAAAATTCCCTCTCACCCTTAACTCACTGCTGAAACATGTGGTTAAAGGCTTTCTTTCCCCCTTGTCATGTCATTGTCATTCCATTTCACAGGTCCTCCTGTAAACGTTACATGCAATATTTTTATCAACAGCTTCGGTTCTGTCACAGAGACAACCATGGTGAGTTCTTCTGGATTTTATCTTGATATCTTCCCTGTCCAATTTGTCAATGTGTTATTTATTCCTCAACCTGCAGGTCCACCAGTTAATGTTACCTGCAACATATTTATCAACAGCTTTGGTTCTATAGCAGAAACTACAATGGTGAGTGGAGTGTTGTGCAAAGCCCTGACCCCTTCTCTGGAATTAAGATTGAATCATAATGTTTTTACCCACTGTTCATTTTTTGTTTACTTTAACCCATGCATCTTTAGTGACACACCAATTGGTGGATGAAGTATTGTTTTTTTTTTGCAAACTTGTTCCCCCAGGTCCAAACTAACACAATCCCTGTAGTTTCAAACTACATACATCAATCTGTTAAAGTGGGGGAAACCAAGCACCTATTAGAACATCCAAACTAATCAAGATCACAGGATGCATAATGACAGATAATAACCACTGAGATAATAAGTGGAAAATGTTAATTTGTGCATGGAGCAGGAAGACGTGGGATTTCCAGAGAATTACACAGCCTCAGACAGGCATGGCAAATACATGGAACCGCCAATATGCTGATGAAATGTCAAACAACATCAGGGCTTTTCATCATCATGACATATCAATTACTCTGAGCAACTGAGATTTCTGACAGTTTATAGTACTAACAGTAGTATCAGAGCTCCATGTTTCTAGCTCCACTAATCCATCATTTATTTACCTACTATAAGGTCTAATTCTGACACGGCCCAATTGAAAAGGTCAGTTTAAGGCAAATTTGAATTATATCTACTCAAGAGAAGTGATTAACATTCTATGGACACCTAGATGATGGATGGTTTTGCAAAACTGACATTCAGAATTATATTCACCCCTCTTCTTTTTCATTAATTGTCCAGTGTTGTGTTGTAATGCTGCAAATTTGTTTTTGGCAAAAGAAATTCTGAGTTTCAAAACCTCACTAAATGAAAGTAGTGTTTGGGTGCATGTTGATTCAGATAGTTGTTATTTTATATTTTGGTGGATGACAGTAAGGATAGATCTTAAAACTGTATGAATTTCTTATAATGTTGTGCTCTAAAGGAAATTATTTAAATGTTATTTATCCTGGGATATCTATCTATCTATCTATCTATCTATCTATCTATCTATCTATCTATCT